TAAAGGCTTGAAAGAAGCAGAGCTAAATTTGAACTCAGGGCTATTTATCTGACTCCAAAGCATTTTTTGTCTAACACACTGTGCTGCTGTATCCTTTTCATCATTTCTCTCAAGCATATATATATTGAAATTTTACAGCTGGTAAATAAAACTGAGGGGGAAGCACAAAGGACCAAGCGGGTTCTGTTACTTGAGACTTTTTTCTCTTAACACATAGTCTTCATCTGTGTCTAGTACAAAACATCATATCCCTTTTTAGTCCATATTTTTTATCTTCTGATTGATCTGTGAAATAACACAATTGGTAACTACTGATGGAAATACTAGGAATGAGAGGAGAACGAATATTGGAGCTTCTAGGTAGAAAAGGAGCAGAATGGGAATAGCAAAATCCTAGAACACCTTTGTCTTCAAAATTGATGTAGAGTTCCCATCTTTTATATATATATATATATATATATATATATATATATATATATATATATATATTATTGATTTCAGAGAAGAAGGGAGTGGGAGAGGGAGATAGAAACATCAATGATGAGAGAGAATCATGGATCAGCTGCCTCCTGCACACCCCCTACTGGGATCAAGCCTGTAACTCCAGCATGTGCCCTTGACCAGAATTGAACCTGGGACCCTTCAGTCCACAAGCTGATGCTCTATTCAGTGAGCCAAACCAGCCAGGGTGAGAGTTCCCATCTTGATAGAGTCATGAGATGAGTACGGAAGATTGACCTACTTACAATGAAATAGGGGAGTGAATATGTGAAATTTCATCTTTAGTCTATATTCCAAATTAAGGGAAAATTGTGTATCTTGTATTTTGACTCCATACATTATCTGAAATTGGTAAAGGGGGAGCAGTAAACTCCCTTTGTTTTTTCTTTTGTTTCCTTTTTGCTTGGTTTGGCCCTATTTTTGTAATCAAGTTTAGCATAATTCCTTCTACCATTTCTTCCGTTTTCAGTTTTGTTTTTCAACTTACGTAGAACAGCTCTGTGTTTTCACAGAGGAATGATTTATTAAGGCTATATTATGACTGCATGCAACTGTGACCCATCCCAGTTCTTTTGGTCTTTATGTAGGCTTTCTGTAGGCCTGGCCAGCCTAGGCATGATCCTGGTTATAATTCAGGGAGTGTTGGTGAAGAATGGATTAGAGACTCTCCCAGCCTTTTACATTGGCCTGTGCTAGTTGCTATTTATTTTAGAGGACAGTGGCCTGGAGATTATTGCCACTCAGGCCTGATGCCACAGTCATGCAGAATTGACCCAGTGTAAACCCAGAATGCTGGAGAAACCCAGCTTCGGGTTGCCAATACAGGTGTGGAGCAGAACTTTATGAAGTTTTCTTTGCTAATAATAACCTTTGCTTTCATGGCTATTTACTATATTAAGTACTAGAGGCCTGGTGCATGAAATTCATGCACGGGTAGAGTCCCTAAGCCTGGCCAGCGATCAGGGCCTGCTGGCTGCTGGCCAGGGCCTTCCTTAGTTCCGCGTCGCCCCCTGGTGGTAGTGCACATCATAGCGAGTGAGAGAACTAGCTGTTGAACTCCCGAGGGACACTTTGCATGTTAGCCTTTTATATATAAAGATATTTTAAGGAATTTTAAGTAATCATATTGACCTCTTCTGTAAAGCCCTACTCCCATTAGCTTCTCTACTTAGTCTCTATCTCTTTCCTGCTCTCCGTTATCTTCTCTAAACTTCTTCTTCTGTAGTATTGTCACTGTAATTCTTTGCCTTTATCCCTAGTTCGGCCTAGATTGGCCTATTGGCACATGACCTTTGACCTGTATCATCTCTGCTCTATAAAATGATGGAGAATAAGTGGTCCCTACCGAATCTTCTAAAGCTTTCTTAGGAGGGTGTCTTTGCAGAGAGGTATTTTTTTAGAAATTACTCAGTAGTTTAAGGAAAAATTTTTCCCTTCGGAAACATAGCCTGTTATATCCTGATTTACCTTACCTAAAAAAAAAAAATTGATGGAGTAGCTTTATATCTAATAGTAGAATTTATTTAGGCTCTTGGCTATATTTAATGTTTTCTTGTTTGAGGAAAATAATTTAATTTTTTTATGTATTTGCTTTCTTGGTGTATGATTCTGTTAGGAAATGTTGCGGGGCTCAAATATATTTGTGTTGTGTTTTTTATTCTTCAAGGATCTTACCATTAGTTAACATTTAAACAGCAAATTGAAGCAAAAAGAAATGAAATAATTTGGCCGAAAGTTTTTATCTGGAAATGAGATTTAAATACACAGGATGTAAGATACAATTTTGGTGCTTTAGAAAATTTGACAATGTGGATAAAGCAAGTAGGGGCTCGGTTAACCAGGGACATTTTCTTGGAAGGAGATGGGACATGGATTTGACAAGCTCTTTGAAAGGACAAATGACGTTTTAGATAAGTATAAGGGGCAGAATCAATAGGAATAAAGACATAAGAACAGGTAGTATTGTAACCTCTAATTGCATTTGGTTACATACTACTTTATAATAGCCTCCACCTCTCAACAGCAACAAGTTCATATACATCCAAACATTTTTAAAGGGGATAATGAGACTGATATAACTGTAACAATATTTGGAGAAAGTACAGTGGGGCCTTGACTTACGAGTTTAATTCGTTCCGTGACGGAGCTCGTAACTCAAATTACTCGTATGTCAAATCAAAAAGTGCACGAGTGAGACACGTGATGCTGGGCTGATGTTGGGGTGTTCACTGTGACGTTTGCTGCGCCAACTAGCGGTGGGGTATCTGAAGCTGGCTCGTAACCCGAATTTTAGCTCGCAACTCAAAGCAAAAAATCGTCCGAGAGACGGCTTGTATCTTGAAAAACTTGTTAGTTGGGACACTCGTAAGTCAAGGCCCCACTGTAATTAGAAATAGGTAAATAAGGTAGGGGGAGAGGGGCTAGTTTTATACAGGATGGGGAGGTGGTTTAGGCTCTTAAGCAGGGAAGATGCTGAATGCAAAATTTTGAGAAGGGAATTGTGTGCAAGATAGCTGCTTTTTACAAATAGTTTTTACTTTTAAATGATAAAGTTTATGAAGTCTACTTTATGCTTGTGATTCAGGCAAGAAACTATTTGGCAGCAGCAGTTTTTTTTTAGCCAGAGAAACCTGATTTTGAAGACCAGGCCAAATGTTTCTTGCTTAGTTAATGACCTTTCCCTCTTTTCTGAGGAGTCTGCACATCATTTTCTATGCAGGCTAGGTATGATCTTAATCCAGATTAGGTAAATTCTGTTTCTCTTGCTTTCAGGGGGAAAAAGATGTTAAACGGAGGTAAAAATTTTCATTGTCCTTCTTAAAGTCTCCCCTCCCCCTTTCATTCCATGGAGATTTTTGAGTTAGAAAGGACCTCAGGGATGGATCATTGGTTCATTGGCTCACAAGAGCCTGCCAATTATGATGGCCTAGGGAGGCCAAATTGATGCAGTCAAAATTGCTAGGCCCTGAAATCTGTATTTTAGGATGTTAGCTGGAGAATTCTGATGCTGCATCAAAACTGATCAAGTTTTTTTTTGTTTGTTTGTTTTCAGTTTAGAGTTTATGTTAGGATTTACCAGGGAAGCCATTTAAAAATTCAGCCCCTCCCCCTAGAGATTCTGAATAGGCTTGATGTTGGACTTGGGTAGGTATCATTTGATGTTTCCCCGGGTAATTTAATACAAAATTTCTGTTAAGGTCTTCTTATCAAATTAGATTTTTTTCGTTTTCTAGACCAGAGAAAGAGAACCAAAGCCACAAAGCGCTAATCACTTTCATCAGTCTTTCTTTGACACAACATTATAACCTGATTTTGGTCACCTTTACTTGAATTCATGTGTGTGGATTTTTGTTTTTGTTTGTTTATTTTTTATAGTAAGCTAACTTTTGCTTTAACCAAGCTGGCCCATGCTGATTATGGAGAGGATTTTGGAGGCATGTAAATTGGGTCTTTTCACATTCTTTTAATTTCCTGGAATGAATGTATTTTCTGAATTTGAATTGTCAAGCAGAAAACTAATCTGGAATAATATTTATGCTTATGAGAAACAGGTACCTTTGGAATACCTTCGTTTTTTCTTTTTTAAATAGTTCTTGGTTTCTTTATAGGAACTATTCCACCTTTTTTTCATTCAGTAGTTTTGGTTGCTCTTCATTTATTTTAGCTCATCCTATATAATAAAAACCTAATATGCTAAATAAGTGTCTACTCAGCCATTCAACCAATCAAAGCGTAATACGCTAATGATATGCTAAGGATGTTCTGCTCGCTATGACGTGCACTGACCACCAGGGGACAGATGCTCTGACTGGTAGATTAGCTTGCTGCTGGGATCTGGCTGATTGGGACTGAGCAAGACAGGCCAGACACGCCCTGGCCTGAGCTTTCCCATGGTCCCTCCCTGGCTGGCAAACCTCCCACGTCCCTCCCTAGCCCCATTTGTGCACTGGTGGAGTCCCTTGGCCTGGCCTGTGCCCTCTCGCAATCTGGGACCCCTCGTTGGATGTCAGAGAGCTGGTTTCGGCCCCATCCCGCAGACCAGGTCAAGGGACTCCACTGGTGCACGAACTTATGCACCGGGCCTCTAGTCTTTTATAACTGTAGCATTTCTAGTTTGGTAATACTTAAGCCACATTTGTGACCAACTAAACTAAAAAAAGGTGCATTGCTGCTGTTAACACAGTATAGTTTGGTTGGTAATATCGTGTAAAATACCATATACTGTGATAAAAGATTCCATATCAAAAGATGCTAAATGGTAATAAGCCATGTAGGCCAAAACATTCAAATGGAAGAAAGCGGAAGCTTGGGTCTGAGTCTCAGACCTTGCGGTTATTGCTAGACTTTTTGTGGAAATAACTCTTGGGAAAGCATAGCATGAGGGAAAAGGCCTGTGGTAAACCGGTCCCCTTCCCCTAACCCTTTTGATATTAACTTTTAAATTAAATTTGTAACTTTCAATACCACTCACTTGTGCTGATTTTCTCTGTGTCTTGTAGGGGTTGGTAGTTCTTGGAGAGGCGCCTCCTCCAGAGAATGCAACAGCAGACTTAGTTCTTAGTTCTGAGGTGAAGACAGATCATGGGAATGATAAATTGGTAAGTATAAATACAGAAAGGGGGACATGAATGCGAATTCGGGGTGTAGTATGAACATACAATTTATTCTATTAGAAGGATCCTTGCATTGGCTGGAAGAAGGATAGTGCATCCCCTTTTATCCTTTCAGCATTTAAAGATCTGAATTCCTGAATATGGCAGTACATAGCTCCCCCTACTGCTGTATAGCTGACCTTAAGAGTTCAAAATTAGCTCCCAACTCTCAAGACAACACAGCCAGAGCATTGTGGCATTAGGGAGTGTTACTGGGAATCAGGAAAACACATGGCTCTGGCACCTTTGACAAGAAAGGCAACCTTTCTGGGCCGCCATAAAATCAAAGGTTGGACTAGAGGTTTAATTCACATGCTGCATGCTCTCTGGGTTACCCCTTTTAATTCTGTAATGAGGATAACACTGTCATTTTCTGTAATCTTCTGGGTCCAGTTTCTCTCAACACCAAGGTTAATGTCTTTTCATTTGATTTCCAATAACACTTTTTGTTTCTTTCACTTTTTTACTTCCCTCAGAATGTCACTGGTTTTTATTAATATTTGCATTTCTTGACTTAAGTAATTTGTTAGAAATTCCAAAGTCCCATGGCAATTATTTGGGAGGCTAGTAAGCAGGGCTAGCTCTTTAAATTGTGGGTTAAACTAGCTTGTCTTCTTGCATCTGCAGATCAGCAAAGCTTGTTATCCTTTATCATTATCATTGTTAGCAGGAACTCATATGATATAGTGGAAACTAACTTTCCTAATGAGAGTGCTTAAATAAAGCCAGCCACTGATGCTAGGGGAAATGCAAGACATTTAGAGATTTGTTGATGGTTCTTAACTGGAAAGTAGTTTTTTAAATCATTTGTGTACCTATTCTAGTGATTGTTCTAACCAGGATAAAACTTGTTACAGATGAGGGAAAACATATTAGTGACGTGGAAGGTCAGCTGGTGATATGTTATTTATTGGAAACATCAGATTTGAAGTATATGTGATTCGGAGTCAGTTTTGCATAGACATTTATATATTTGCGTATAGTATTTAAGGATTCCAAAATTTTTCTGGTACTCTCTTGTACTCAGCACTTATGAGGATAGGATATGATAGTGTCATTGTGTTACTCATTCTCATTGTTACATTTATACACATTCACATATGTGCACATGTGTGCTCCATGTATGGATTTGTCCCTATTCCTACCTCACCATTCACTTGCATGTGTATGACCCATATTAGGTTGTAAGATTCTTGAAGATCAAGACTATCTTCTTAATACTGCATTGTTGTTGACCACAGTAGTTTCTACATTGTACAATAGATTGCTTTTTGATTCATTAAAATTGATAATGAGTATGAAAACAAGTATACACTGTCACTCTGTCTTCAAGGAGAGGTCAATCTTTAGAAAGTGCCTTTCTGAAGAAAACAAATGCCAACAGAAGGCATTACATTTCCATTTTATTACAGCGATTTTCAATTGTTGTGCCCCAAGAAATGTTTTTTAATCCTCACCCGAAGATATGTATTCATTGATTTTTATTTATTTTTTATTTTTTAAATGTATTTTTATTGATTTCAGAGAGGAAGGGAATGGGGAGAGAGAGAGAAATATCAGTGATGAAAGAGAATCATTGATCGGCTGCCTCCTGCATGCCCCACACTGGGGATCAAGCCTGTAACCCGTGCATGTGCCCTGACTGGGAATCGAACCTCAACCTCCTGGTTCATAGGTTTGACTCTCAACTACTGAGCCATGCCGGCCAGGCACTTCCTTTTTTTAAATGCCAAATATTTGCCAAGCGTGCCTAATATGTCAGTTGCTACACAGTTTTTCATTGTAGGAGGGCACTTTAATTTTGCCTTTTTGTTACCCAGCTTGTTTTTTTTTGAAAAGTGATTTGTATCTTGACTTCTCAGTTTTACTGTAAAAAATGTTAGGTCACATTTGGCAGGGGCAGTTGTAAATTTTCATACTCACATTTAACTTCCCTAGTCTCCTCCCTCGCCCTCGCCCGCCCCCCGCCCCCCCACTAAAGTAGAACTATATATTTATATTACCCTTTCTTCCTCCCCAGTTTGAAGACTTGTGGTTTAAAAATATTGTCAGAGGTATTTTTTGTTTTGTTGTGTTGATTTTTGTGTTTTCATTTCTGAAACTCGCTGGGGTTAACAACAAAAAATACCCCAAGGTTTTTTTTTTTTTTTAAAGCTGTCAAAATATAGTTTCAAGAAGTTAGACAGAATTCTCAAAGAAATACATAGTAACTGATTAAGGTGGGAATGTTGGCTGGTAACAGTATCTTGATACTAGGTACTGATTTGTATATGTAGTCATTGAAAGGGAGAGTGCTGGAAAATAAGATTACTCAATAGCATACAAACTTTATTAATCTCCTGCAGACTAATAGAGCCATAACCTTTGGAGTTATGTTTTCAACTAAATACAAATCAGCCCTAGACTTTTTGTCTCAGTGAATAGAGTGTCAGCCTGCAGACCAAAGGGGTCCTGGGTTCGATTCAGGTCAAGGGCACGTACCTTGGTTGCAGGCTCCTCCCCAGACTTAGGGCCTGGTCGGGACTTGTGCAGGAGGCCATCAATTGATGTGTTTCTCTCACATTGATATTTCCCTCTCTCTCCCACTCTCCCTAAAAATTAATGGAAAAAAATATCCTCAGGTGAGGATTAAAAAATAAACACAAATTCATTTTAGCATGTTAATATTCTAAATATAAATATCCAACTTAAGGCATCTGGTCACTCAGCAATTATAAAAAGTAAAACAAAGTTAAATAATTGATGGAGAGTCATAATGACCTTTAGGTGGGCTTGTTACATAATGTTCCAGTGTTACACTGAAAGGACACAATCATCTTTTTGCCTCATCTCCAAATTGAATGACTTTTTAAAAAAGAGAACATATACACATATACACACACACACACACACACACACACCTATCTGCTTTGGTTATGAGCACAGTACAGATATTGCTGAAACTAAGTTATTTTTAGGAAAATTTTAAATCCTCACATGTGGATTTATTTTTTAATTTTTTTTTTGGCCTTGGAGGGAGGGAGGGAGGGAGGGAGGGAGGGAGGGAGGGAGGGAGGAAGAGAAGAGAAGAGGAGAGGAGAGGAGAGAAGAGAAGAGAAGAGAAGAGAAGAGAAGAGAAGAGAAGAGAAGAGAAGAGAAGAGAAGAGAAACATTGATCAATTTGCCTTCCGTATATGCTCTGAACGGGAATCGAACCCAGCACCTTTCTGTGCACAGGCCGATGCTCCAGCCAAATGAGCCATATCTGCCAAGGCTGAAATTAAGTTATTTTAAAGGGGCCAAACCTGTGATAAAAAAAGGAACCACTGGCCAAAACCGGTTTGGCTCAGTGAATAGAGCGTCGGCCTGGGGACTGAAGGGTCCCAGGTTCGATTCTGGTCAAGGGCATGTACCTGGGTTGCGGGCACATCCCCGGTGGGGGATGTGCAGGAGGCGGCTGGTCGATGTTTCTCTCTCATCGATGTTTCTGACTCTATCTCTCTCCCTTCCTCTCTGTAAAAAAATCAATAAAATATATAAAAAAAAAAAAAAAAAAGGAACCACTGGATGCAGCCCTGGCTGGGTAGGCAGCTCAGTTGGTTGGAGCTTCATCCGGTATATATAGCAAGCATGCCAAACTCCTGGCCCACAGGCCAAATGCGGCCCACAGTGAATATGTTTGCGGCCCAGCCAATATAATGGTATATAAGAAACGTTTTAATAAAAAATTTGTAACTTAATTTTTATAATATTCTGATATACATAATTATTATTAATAATGCACTACAACGTTCTCTAATGACTGATTACTATAATTGTGTTGCATTCATTTCCCTTATGCGCCTTATGTGCAGGCCCACCATTTCTCTCCACTAATACTAGCAGCGAATATTTTAGCAGCTGATTGCCACGTCATTAGTCTTGGACTGACATGTTTGGTGTGTCCAACAGGAAAGTGTTGGTTGAATTATTTAAGATAGATTTTTAGTGTTGAGTAAAATACTTTATCAAAAGATTTGAACATCTTTATAACTACTTAATGTCACATTACTTTTCAAAAGAAAATCAGTATAGCATTTAAGGCAGTGAAGATGTGTGCCAATTTACCATAATTTTGGCATCATTGACTAATGTAATTGTTCAAGATATTTGTGATATCTTGGTACAGTGGTCGGCAAACTGCAGCTCAGCAAACTGCGGCTCGCAAGCCACATGCAGCTCTTTGGCCCCTTGAGTGTGGCTCTTCCACAAAATACCGACCTCTGCGCATGGGCCACGAAGTTTCAATCGCACTGTACGTGTGCTCCTGCACGTGGTATTTATTTTGTGGAAGAGCCACACTCAAGGGGCCAAAGAGCCGCATGTGGCTCGTGAGCCACAGTTTGCCGACCACTGCCTTAGTTGATGTACAGGGTAGCTGAAGAAGACGAAGGACAGTTTCCCAGTGTTCACTCATGGTAGTATACTGGTATGTCTTAACCTGTTTATTATATACTACTTTGATCTAACTTTTTGGATAATTTGTATTAAAACTTTTAAGTTATCTTCCCTTTCTTGATACTTGTCTATGACTGTTCTCAAGACGGCAGATCCTTTGGTGTTTTTCTCCTGTCGTTGAAAAGATAAAAACGAAATTGAGCAATATTTAATAGAATTTCAGCTCAAAATATTGGCTTTGTGCCCAGGCAGTGTGCCTCAGGGATTGAGCATCAGCCTATGAACCAGGAGGTCACAGTTCAATACCCAGTCAGGGCACATGCCTAGGTTGTGGGCTCTATCCCCTGTGCGGGAGGCAGCTGATTGATTCTCTCTCATCATTGATGTTTCTATCTCTCTCTCCCTTCTTTTCTGAAATTAAAAAAATAAAAAATATTGACTTTGTTATGCAGGAAGGAGAACTTCAGAACACCTGCTAAGTCATTCTAAATGTAAGGTGACAAGGAACACAGCCATACTGTGGTATTCCAACAACTCACAGAGCTGAGGAATAACTGCATCTGTGGCTTTATTGCCTACTAGAGGCCTGGTGCACAAAATGTGTGCACTGGGGGGAGAGGTCCCTCAGCCTGGCTTGTGCCCTCTCACAGTCTGGGAGCCCCGTGATGGATCAACCCAAAGAGGTAGGCCCTGCCCACCTGCTGCAGCGCCATCACAGGGTAACCTGGGCCTCCCTCTTTGGGGCAATCATGGACCCCCCCAATTGATCGATCAGCCCGCCGGCTGGTTTCCTGGGCCTCCCTTTGCAGGGCAATCATGGGGTGATGGCCGGGCCCCTGACCAATCGCATCACACCCGCCTTGGCTGGCCTGGCACCAGTGGGTGCCACAGCGTGGTCATCTGGATGATCATTCTGCTGTTTGGCCATTTTGTCAATTTGCATATTACGCTTTTATTATTATAGATACTTCAGAGACTCCATATGATTGACAGCTCATGGCTAACCCTACCCCTTCTGAGCCTAGTAAATATATAATTTGCTTCAAAATATTTAAATTAAAACTTTCCAGATTCCACCTTCCTTTTTAATTTTTTTTTTTTTACTGTTTCTAAGCATATATTAGGTTTGTATAGTCCGAAGAAAATAGTTACTACCTGATAACATTGGGTAATTAGTTATTCATTGAGATTTTATTGGTTTTTTATTTTTAACACAAATATATATGTAATTTTGAACAAATTATGGTTTTCTGGAAACAGGCTTTCAGCAACCACTGAAGTTAAGCAGAAATAAGTCATTTAAATTTCCTCTTATTTGATTCAGTACTGAACTTACATATTCTTGACCTTTAGTTGAAGATTCTTGTTACTTCTTATGTAATTGTTTTTGCTAACCTTTTGTTCCGTTGAATTGTTTAGATCAGTGGTTGCCAACCCGTGGTCCATGGACCACTGGTGGTCCATGAGGTCCGAAAGGTGGGCAACCACTGGTCTAGGTCATTTCCCTCTCAGTAAGCTCTTATTACTATTAGTCTGCTAAATATTATGGTTCCTCACACCCACTTCTCCCAAAGCAAAAGCTAATTAATTTTCTTTTTTTTTTCTTTAGTCATACAAATTTCACTTTTCAAGTTGTTCATCAGAAATTTTACATATTTTATTTAAATGAAATGGTGCTGTATTTCAGACTGGGTGCTGTTGGTTAAATGTTGTTGATAGTATATTTTTGTTTTCTTTTCCTTATTCAGACCGAATCTGTTTCTCAGCCACTGGAAAACCATGGTGCCTCTGGTCATTCTTCAGAGTCATTATCTACCAAATCATATGGAGCATTGAGACCTGTCAATGGAGTTATTAACACGTAAGTTATCTCTTCCACTTCTTACACTCAATATGTTTGTAAAAGAGCTCTTAAGTTACTCCTAGCCAGGGCTAACCCTGGTTTAAAGACAGAAACCTCATCACATAATAATATTGTGCACATCTTCTACTGTAGCAAGTATAATTAGCATGCTAATGTATTTTCCTTTTACTTACTGACGCCTAAAATTGACTCATCATGTAGAAAAGTGAAAGGTCCTACAATTATTGTGAAACACTGTGATTGGTCATAGTGTTGGTAGAATTCCTCAGAAGTGTTTACATAAAATCCTCTATTCTAGAACAAATTAAATTCCTAAAGGTTAGCAGTCATCAGCATCGGGAGATGAACTCCTGCTTCAGAATACTTATGTATGTCTGTGGCTATTTACAAGTAGAGGAGGTTGAACCAGTGTTAGAGGCTTTATTTCCGTGAGTCTTCTGAAAAGTGAATATTATTCCTTCCTCTTGTGTAGGCTGCAGCCGGTCTTGGCGGACCACATTCCAGGTGACAACTCTGATGCTGAGGAACAATTACATAAAAAACAACGACTGAATCTAGTTTCTTCATCAACTGATGGCACCTGTGTGGCAGCCCGAACACGTCCTTTGCTGAGCTGTAAGAAACGGAGGCTTGTTCGACCTAACAGCATCGTTCCTCTTTCCAAGAAGGTTAGTACCAGTGAGGTTTGAGCATTATTAAACCACTAGAGGCCTGGTGCACAAAAATTCGTGGGGTGGGGGTGGGAGGTCCCTCAGCCCGGCCTGCCCCCCCCTCACAGTCCAGGAGCCCTCAGGGGAAGTCCTGCTGACAGCTTAGGCCCACGCCCCATGTGAGCAATCTGGCCTCTCTCTGTGGGAGGCAACTGGGCTCATCAGGGGAAGGCGCTGCTCCTATCACCCTGCTGCTGCTGCCACTGCTGGTCGCGGCAGCTGAGAGGCCTGAGCCCACGGCTGCCGTGAGCCCCAGGCCTCACAGACACTGTGGCTTTGTCCAGATGGATGTGCAGAAGACGTTCACCCTAATTAGCATATTGCCCTTTTATTAGTATAGATAAGCCAGATGCTCAGAAGTATTAGTCTTTTGCCAATTTTGCTTCATTTAACTAATATTTTCCAAACTTGGCCAACCACCAACGTTTCCTGGTGAGTTTTAAATAATACTAGGCTCCTTAACCCTTGTTTCCCAGAGATTCTGATTCACTTGCTTTTGAGTTAGACCTGGAAATCTTGTTTTTAAAAAAACAAAAACTTCTAGGTGACTTTGCAGCCAGGTTTGGAAACTATTGGCTTAAGCTTTTTAATCGAAATGGGATAGAGGAAGTTGAAATGCTGCCATCAACATTTTGAAAAACATTGGTGTGTCTTCTCATTTGTACTGTTATCACTAAAAATGGTAACGCAGAATGCTTTTCTTTTAAATACGAATTTCCATTAAAATTTCTAAATTGGTTGCTAACTGAATGTTTGTCTTGACAAAGAAAATGGAGATTGATTCACAACTATAGGAAGTTTGATTGCTGACTTTTCAAATAGCAGAGTTGGATTTATCCCAAAACTAATGAAATAATACTCCAGTAAAATTAATGTCATGTAATGTTTAAGAGTATTAACTTTGAAGTGGATAAACTTGGGTTAAAATCATGGCACTGCCACTAGTTTTGTGATTTGGAGCAAGTTAATACCTCCTCCAACACCCCCACTCTACCTCCAGCCTCTGAGATCTCATAGGATTGTTTGAGTGTTAAATGAAATGCATGTAACTTGCTTATTGGGGTGTCTGGCTCATAAGTTACTAGTACAAAGTGTCTGTTGCTGTTATTACTTGTTTTTGTTCATTCACTCATCCAAAAATATGTATTGAGCTCCTACAATGAGTTATATCTGTTCTGTATACTGGGACTACACTAAACAAAAACAGACAAAAATCCTTAATCTCATGAAATAATAAATGGAGTTTACGTTATGTCCTATAATGTTAAGTGCTGGGGAGGAAAAAAATGCAGCAGAGGAAAGGAATGAGGAACATCTGGTTGTTCAGATGGAATTAAGCCTTGAGCATTCCAAGGCTTGTAGATAAGAAAGATAAGGAAGAGAGTAGGAGGAAGGAGTGGAGTTACTAGTGAAGCAGAAGGAAAACTAAGTATGGTATGTGGAAGGCAAGTGAAGAAAAGTGTTTCAGAGAGGAAGGAATGATCATGTCTTAGGTGCCACAGATAGGTCAAGTTAGACAAAATTGAGACTTGACCATTGGATATGATGGGGGTCAGGGTTGTTGGAAAACTTTATGAGCAGTTTTGTTAGAGGGAGAAGAGTGAATTCTGATCAGAGCAGATACAGGAGAGAATGGGAGGGAAGGAATTGAGGAAACTTGTAGATATAGTATCAAAGAATGTTTTCTGTAAAGGTAGGCAGAGAAATAGCCTGTTTCAAGGGGAATCTTTCTTAAGATAGAGCTGTTACAATACTTTTGCTGATGAGAAAAACTAATGACAAAGGGGAGGGTAGAGAAGAGAATTGTTGGAACCATTAATATTTGGACAGTGGATTTTCAGTACTTAGCTTATTTTGTTATAGTATGCATTTAAACTGTATGATGTTACCATGGGTGTTTTTTTTTGTGTTTTTTTTTAAGAAAAGTATTATAAGTGAAAATTAACTGTCAGGCTGTACCATTTTTCTCATTTATTCTCCAGACTGCCTGAACTACCAAATGCCAGAAAAGAAAAGACTAAGATATTTTGCAGGTTTCTCATTAATATTTGAAGGTACACATACATTTTTAAAAAACAGTTGAGGCAAGGAAGAGACGCACAGAGCATACTAAAGACCCCTTGATTCCAATACCAATTTCTAAAACATTCATCCTGTCCTGGCCAGGTGGCTCAGTTGATTGGAGCATCGTCCTGTTCGTCCCATACACCAAAAGCTTGTGGATTTGATTCCCGGTCAGTGCACATAAGTAGATTGCAGGTTCATCTGAATCTGCTGCAACTGATTAATGTTTCTCACATTGATGTTTCTCCCTCCCTTTTTCCCTCCCTTACCCCTCTCTTCCTCTCTTCCTTCCTCTTTCAAATCAATAAACATTTCCTTGGGTGAGGATTAATAAGTAAATAAAATAAATAAAACAATCATCCCGGCATATGTAAAAATAAGCTGCATAGAAAATAAATCAAAGAAATAGATTGAGTTTGGAAAATAAACAATTTGCTGGTTATAGCAGAAATACTGGCCAAAGTTGGAAATAAAGGCCATTCTCTCTATCTTGGTTATTTACAGTGATATTTGCTATTGAGCAAGCATCTTGCCTTCTGTCATCTTTAGGTGTTAGATTTGGGTTATTTCCCTATATCATGATTTCATTGTAATATAAGGGCTGATCATTATAACTTGTCTATATTGCTACTTATATTCTTTACTTTAAGGGTCTAGTATGTTAGATGTTAGTGAATTAGCTAAGCCAGTAAAGAAATATTCAAGTGGGAAGTTTTTATAATATATGTCATGTTTATTTTGTGCCCTGCTGCTTCTGTAAGGTAGATGTTTATGACAATCTAAAACATTAGTTTCTAGATAGTGAGATTTTAGGTCAAACAAATTTTAAAAATAAATCTGGGACCACTGTTGGGTTGCTTTTTATTTTGTCAAGTGGAATGCTTTTATAAATTGAGTAAATCATATTACAGATGGTATTTTAAAAAGAAAAAATAATATGCCTTGAAATTTTGGGGTTGGACTTAGCACTTTTTAATTTTTTAAAAATAGCATTTATCAAATGGCGTGGCAATGTTCTGGCATGATTTTAATGTTTTATAGTCTGTTGGAAGAGTATAATTATATAGGAAGATTGCTTTGGGATAAATTTTCAAGTTAGCTTCTATAGAATTTCCAGTGGGCCTCCACTTTTTCCTCTTACATCACACTTGAGGACATATAGGACATTCTCTTAAGGCCTAGTGCCATGATATTAAGGCCTAGTGCCAAAATAATTATGAGTTCGTATTAAAAGTGAATAATTTCATATCAAGTGGGATGTGTTCTTTTTTGATAGGGGATTCCTGTGATAGACTTTGGAGGCCCAACTTTGCAGTACTAATCTTTTGGGAAGAAGAAAGAGTGCCATGTGGAAAATTGTATTTCCTTAGGAATTAAAGCTACTTAGAATACTGAGAAGTCACCCAGTGCTTAGAACACAAACCTCTAAACTTTTATGAGTATTTTATATATGCACCATACAATTTGAAAAATTGAGATTAAATAAATAAAAATACAAGCTCTAATGAACTGTCCTCAAGACAAAAGAATTTGTAATGCTTTGAACTAATATTTTGTGATTAACAGAGAATGATGAATATAGCCTTACATTTTTTGATCTTTTCGAATTTACAAATACAGAATTTTATAGAAAGCATTCTTAATTGTTAAATCCATGTATCAGTGGTTATATCCATTTCTTAGTCTTACTTATATTTAGTCTTCTTTCTTGATTAACCTTTTTTGCAATTTTTCTATTTTAATAGTTATTTCAAAGACCAGTTCTTTGCTGTTAATTCCTTCTTCCTGTGGTCTTCTCACTCCCCCTCCCTTTTTTGCCTTTATTCAGATGGCTTAGTTAATTTTTCTGTTCTTTTATAATAATAAAAGCATTTAACTTTTTAAATTTTCTTCTGAGGGTAGCTTTGGATGTCATTCCACAGCTTTTGATGTGGCAAGTGTTCCTTTTGCTATTTGTAGATTGCCTTTGAGTTTTTTAGTTATTTTCTGAAGAGTTAAGAATTGAGTTTCCAAATTCCAAATGGTTAGTTTTTCTTTTTAAATCTTTTGTTATTAATTATTAATTTTTATAGCATTTTGGTCAATCTCTTCTTGGCCTTTTGATTAAGATCAAGTGTATAGTATAGCATTTTGGTCAAAATGTTTTAGTAGTTTCTGCTAATATTTGTAGTCCATTATGCGGGTGTTTTTTTTTAATTTTCATTGTTGTCTAGTATAAAGTTCTATATAATTATATCTTCATAGTTACAGCTTCTTTTTCCAGTAGTTGTTTTTGTCCTACATTCAACTTTTCTTTATATTAATGTTATACAGTATATACTTTTTTCTCACTCATTTACTTTTAGGATTTTGTATTCTGTGTGTTTTTTGAAACATCATAGAAGCAGATTTAGGTGTTTCTTTTTAATGTCTTAAGAAACTCTGTTTTATTAAATATAAATAGAGAATAGTTTTAATTTTATATTCAGTTTTGAAACTAGATTTAAAGGCTTATTTTTACTGTAATACTTTATTGTTTACTGGCAGTCTTTTTTATACTTCCATGTGCCCATTTATTGAGTTCCTAATTTGGATTTTTAATTTTTCAGTGATTAGAGCAACAATTTCATCATGTTTCAAGTTTTCAGACCATAACCTTTGTCCCTGAAAACCCTGTTTCGCTTTCTTTTGGTGGGGGAAAAGAGCAATTGTTTATTCTGTTTTGGCATAGAATTAGACTGGTGTCGATCTTACTTTTATTCCTTTGTATTGATAATTGATTCTATTCTGTGGTGCCCAATATGATAGCCACTACCCACGTGTAGCTTCTTACTATATTTTATTGATTTTTTTTTTTTTTTTTTTTTTTTTTTACAGAGAGGAAGGGAGAGGGATAGAAAGTTAGAAACATCAAT